AAAAGTTTCTGACAAACTTCCTGTAATAGTTGGTCAATCCTAAAAACGATCGTAATTATGTGAGGGTATGAGGAGTTGGCCAATCTCGAATAAATGCTATCTTACCGTCCTCAGGTCGGATACCGTCTCCGTCTAACACGTGGCCTAAGTAAAGGACTTCTGTCTTAGTCCATTCACACTTCTTTGCGTTGATCTTGAAGTTAGCTTCCCGGTAGTTTCTCCAAGATCTGCCTTAGATGGCCCTTGTGTTCCTCGAGGGTCTTGCTGAATACTAAGATGTCTTCTCAATAAACTACTACGAATCAATTTAGCCACAACCTAAACAAATCGTTCATACAACGCTGAAACGTGGCTGCTGCATTGGTAAGTCCAAAGGGCATCACTATGAACTCGTAATGCCCTTATCTTCGGAATGTTGTCTTATGCTTGTCATCAGGGTGCACTTTCTATCTGATGATATCCTGACTTCAACTCTATCTTTGGGAAGTACCTGCAGCCCTGCACCTGATCCAAAAGATCGTCTATACGGGGCAACGGTTCTGCATTCTTTACAGTTATGACGTTCAGATTTCTGTAGTCTATATACATTCGTAACTCTCCCCCTTTCTTCGGGACATACAAATCAGGTGTGCCGAAAGGAGATGAACTGGGCCTGATCCATCCCTTCTCTAGGTGTTCGTCTAACTACTTGCGAAACTCCTCTAGCTCCTTGGGGGACATTTTTGTAGTCTTGCCCCTTACGCGTTCTATTGCCAGGTTCTATCTCTATACGATGCTGGATGGGTCCCGGTATTACTCCAGAAGGTGCCTTAGATAAGTCTTTGTATTGTTCCAGCAGACTGGTAATAGTGGGGTGGACTTTCTCCTCCTCCTTTGGCGTATCTGCAATCGGCCCAACATAAGCGACAAACACATGTTCTTCAAGCTGTTCCTTTCGCACAAGTCTAGTGAGCAAGAGCGCTGAGGCAGCAATGTGCTAGGGAATCATCTATCCCTGACTCGTGATATAGGCGGACTTTCTTGACTTCGCCTGTTGGACTAGGGAGCCTGCACTCGTGCTCTCGAAGGTGCAACGTGGCTCTTGCTGCGTCTCCCCAATTTGTTCCCAATACTACCTCAAATGGGAAATTTTCTTCGACGAGAAGAGTCATGGAATGGAGGACTTTCTCTACCTTCCCTTCCTTCTTTACGCGAAAGTATGCTTGGACTTCCTTGACGTATTCCTCGACATGCATATTGCTGTTGTCTGCGAGGATACTGACTACAGACTCTTTCAGTCGTTGGACTTTAAGACTGAGCGCACAACTGGACATACACTCCCTTGGGCTCACGCATAGTACTATTACAGTCACTGCCTGCGCACCACCCAAGGGTTGTTCATGGTGTTGTATGTTGGTTTTGGGTTTCACATGGGTTGCTTGGGGGTGTTGGTCTTGGGTGTTCTGTTGATCTCCCCAGTCTGGCATATCACACGTTCGTGCCATTTTCGCTAGTCGTTCACATGGTAGAGTCATTCGATTACATCTTACAAGGTCATGGGTTCGAGCTTGGTTCGGACCTTGGGGGGGTCCTTGTCCAGCTTACGCTGCTCTCTTTGATATACACACATGATGCTGCCTATGATTCACAGAGCACACAACCTTCGGGCATATACATAGCTTGCGAATTATACATGGCCTACGGGCTACATACACAAGTTTCCACACATGGTGCTGTCTGTACATCTTGATACATAGATACACGGAGCATACATAACCTTCGGGTATACACATAGATTGCGAACTACACAACTATCAGACTGGGGGCAGGGTTGTCACCCGGGGATCCCCGGGGCCCGAGCCGGGGTAGGGGATTGAGCCCCGGACCCCCGGCCCAGGGATCCC